CAGGTGGACCTGCCACCCACTGTGCAGAGGCCTCAGCCTCTTTGCTGGGCATTGCCCTGACACCAGTCTGGGTTGGCTTGGACTTTACAGAACCCTGATTCTCCAGGAGCAATTACCTGTCTTGCCACAGTTTGAGGGAAACTGAACAAATAGGACACATTAGCTGAGGGAGTTTAATTGAAACTCAAGAGTTTAATTTGGTTTTGAGACCAGGCTAACCAAAAGGGTTAAACTAGTCTGTTTGGGGAAGGACAAGGATTTGTTACTGAGCTGGTGAGATCCTCCATGGCTTGACGTCAGTGGTGAAGGGCTGAGTCCCTGTCTTAGAACAGAACGGTTTTCATGACAGTTGTGTGCAGGGACCTCCCTGAATCTTTCTTTTCCCCCTCCCATTCATCAACAGACAGATTTTGGAGAATTTCACCATGTGCATTTTACTTTCCATCACAATCATCATGCATTCCTCAGGGACCAAGTCTTAGTGCAGAAAAGTGTGACTTCCTTAAGGATGTCCCAAGCGTTGCTTTTGAGCTGACCCCAGACTGAGACAGCCAAACCATTTCAGGATTAGACCATATGGACCTGATGCTTGGTGACTTCTGTTTGGTGTTTATTCTGCTATATGTCCCTTGATGTTCAAGGGGAAAAATGTGTGTTAATGGCGTTGTTAACCACCATGGCCAGATGACTAGAATGGTTTTTCTCCTTAGATAGAGAAGAGTTCTTTTATTTTTTAGAATTAAAGAAAAATGCCAATATATAGTGATGACCCAATATAGGAAGTACTTGTATGTTCAATTCTTTTATGTGAGATTTTTGTTTATTGTTGATCTCTTCCACTATCTGTGACAATCATGTATTCTGTACTAGATTAAAATCTTTTTTTTGTAAAAGTGATAATTAAAACAAATACAACTAGTGATTGTGTTAGCTAGCTTTCATCACTATATCAAAATGCCTGAGATAATTAACTTACAAAGATAAAAGGTTTATTTTGACACAGTTTTGGAGGTTGTAATTTATGATCAATTGGCCAAATTGTTTCAAGCCTGTGGTGAGGCAGCACATCATGGTAGGGTGGGTGGGCAGAGCAAAACTGCTCACTTCACTGTCAGGAGGCAAAAGAGAGAAAGAGGAAGGGGCCAGGTTCCTACAGTTCCCTTTAAGGCACACCCCCAACATCCTAAGGACCTCCCACAATGCCCCATCTTTCAGAGGTCCCACCACTTCGCACTAGAGTTACCCTGAGGACCAAGTCTTTAACACATGGGCCTTTGGAGACCAAGATACAGACTGTAGCAGTGATGAAAGTATGAGGACCCCTGGAATCGGCCCTTAAGGGAGTCAGAATTAGCCCCAGGGCATTTCCTTCAGATTCCAGGAAGAGCCCAAGGACTTCTGAGGATCCCCTTGCTGCTACTGTAGCCCAAGCAACACCCATCCCTAACTCCTGGATTGTCCCCGTAGCCCAGGGAGGGGTCCTACTGCTTCCTCCCTTGCCCTCTCTCCAGTTTGTTCCCAGCACAGCAGCCAGAGCTCACGGTGCCTCTGCCCAGAACACCACAGCTGCATCCCAGGGCTCCCAAGACAAAAGCCAAAGGGTTTGGGGCCATGGTATTACTTAACCTCTGACCTTACCTCCTGCTACCGATTCCTTTGTGTGCTCCAGGACAGGCAGACCTCACTTCAGCCTCGTGGTCCTTGCACTTGCTGACCCTTCTGCCTTGGAACAGTCTTTCCCAAAATATCTGCATACTGTTTTCAGGTCTTAGCTCCTAGGGCAGTTTCTCATTTAGGCCTGCCTTGATCATGACTAAGTGTTTATCCCTCTACACACACACACACACACACACACACACACACACACACTCTTTATCTATCTATCTATCTATCTATCTATCTATCTAATCTTTCTCTGTCTCTCACTCCCATGTGTCATCCTCTGCTTTTTTCTTTGTTTCTTGTTTTTCAATGCTGGGGATTGAACCCAGAGCTCCTATAGAGTAGGCAAGCACTCTACCATGAGCGGCACCCCCAGCCTTCTTTAAAGTTTTGTTTTGAGACAGGGTCTCGTTATGTTTCCTAGGCTGGCCTAGAATTTTCCTAGGCACAGTAGGGCATGCCTGTAACCCTAGCAATTTAGGTGGCTGAGGCAGGAGGATTGCAGGTTGCCAGCCAGGGCAATTTAGTGAGGCCCTGTCTAGATAGACAAAATCAAACCAACAGGGCTGGGATGTGGCTCAGTGGTAGAGGACCCCAGGTTCAATCCTCAGTACTCCAAAATCAAAACAATCCAGCTTGTGCTCCCCTGCCTCAGGCTGGAGGCAGCTAGGATTGTGGGTGTGCCCCACCATACACAGCTTGCTTTTCTTCATAGCGCTGTCAGCTAACATGCTTTATGATTTTCCTACAGATTCATTGTTTGTCTCTTCCCAGAATGTTACCTCCAGGGCTCTGTCTTGTTCAGTGTGTCCCCAGCACTTAGAACCATGCATGGCTTATTTGAAGTACACACTGTTTGTTGAATAAATGAATGGAATTGGCCCTCTTTAACCTCATGACTAGATATGAATCTTATAGTCCCTTGCATTGTAGGGTTTCTTTCCACCAGTTGTGTTCTCATTCCATCTCCTAAGAGAACTGAAATGTTAGGAGGAACAGCTTTTAAAAATTAGCCGCAGCTGTGAGCCATTTAAAAATTCTATGCAGTGAGTTGGGAAATGCCAATTAATTGTTGAGTTGTAAGGCAAATGGATAAATAGCGGAGTCAGCATACCCCAGTCTCCTGTGTGCCATGCCCTGGGGAAGGGAGGGGGTGTAGCAAAGGGCGCTTCTCTAGGGACCATCACATTTCCCCTCTGCCCAGCCCCTCAGTTGTGGCAGTGCCTGAAGCAAACTTTCCTGTCCTGCTCTGAAAGAGTGTGCACATCCATTTGCCAGTGTTGTCTTGTTAAGGGCTTCCTTTGGCTGATGTGTGTGTTTTCTTTTTTGTTGATGGTGTTTCTTAGTAACCCACTGCCAGAGTCCCCTCTGCAGAGTTGCTACTTAAACGTGTCTTGAACTCTGTGCAATTTCTCTTTTAATAGCTTAAGATTTACTTTGCTCATCTAAGTATAGGAAACAAAAAATCTATATAGACATCAGTGTAGACAGAGCCTATCTCATTACCAGTGCTCCTGGAGTGGGCACAGTGGGGAGGATGGTGCCCACTCGGCAAAGCCCACATGGTCTGCTGGCAGAATTAGCCCAGTGTTGGTGATGGAAACAGTGGGTTCTAATAGCCCAGAGCCGTACGTAAGCCATATTGAACAACCATGTTGTGAGCCATGTTAATGAAATAAGTTCATCGTCATCCTCATGGAGCTGCTTATATATAGTCTAGTGAGATTGATAAACTTAACTAGTTATGTAAGTATGTATTATGAACTGTGATAGGGGCTACAGAGGAGGAGATCAAGGCCCTCTGAAGCTTAAAATAGGGTCGTTTGTCCTACTTGTGGGATCATGTACTTTGAGCTAGGATCTGCAGGTTGGATACTAGGTAGGCATGTGGGGGGATTTTGAAAGAATAGTAGCAGAGTATGTGAATAATTTCCAAGAAGAAATAAGGGGTGCAAAATCATTGGTGTGGAGGGACCCTTGTGTCTCATGGGAGCAGTAGTAGTCCAGTGTGGCTAAAGTGAGAGGGTGTCCAAGGAGAGGAACATGAGGAGGAGCTAGAGAGGCAAGCAGGGCCAGATTGTGCCTGAGTGTCAGCTCCAGTGAGTTTATCAGGAGACACACCCAGAGCATTGGAGGGGTGCAGGCAGGGCTGAACCATGGTGCATTTTATAGTTTAAAATGTTTTCTGTGGACACACTGTGGATTAATAGATGGGGAGGGAGAAATGTGGAAGCTGGAAAAACAGCTGGAGGTGTTTTGTGTTTGTCCAGGAGGAGGACAGGAGCAGCTTGGACTAGGGTGGCCGTGGAGGAAGAGAGAGGCCCCAGCACTGAGCTGGGGGTTGCTCCAGTAGTCTCACTAAACAGTCTGCTGACATAGATGGGCCTAGTCTCTGACTGTCCTGGGATTTGCTGGCTCTCAGGAAATTATCCTTTGAAGAATTGGGAATCTATTGATCAAACTAGATGGAGCATGTGTCCAGGCTGCCTTGACAGTTGCATTTTCTTTCTTTTTTTAAACACAATACTTTTATTTGATTTTTACATGGTGCTGAGGATCGAACCTGATGCCTCACACATGAGAGGCGAACGCTCTACCACTGGGCTATAACCGTAGCCCTGACAGTTGCATTTTCATTGTAAATGAATACATAGACATTATGTCTTTGTCAGTTCTTGTGAACTTCATTAGCATGAGTAGGTATTGATAAACATGATCAATTCTGGAACTTCAGTGAGATAGACTTTTGGAGCCTGCAGAGGTATGGGGTAGAGCCTGGATAGTCCTGAGTTCTGCAGGATGAATGTCACCCAGAGCAGTCTCTCTGAACAGGTGCCTTTCCTAAAAAAACACCCCCTTTTTTGAAAAATGCTTTCCATTAGAATGTTTCTAAAAAATTAAGCAAATTTTTAAAAAATGCATCTACCATTTGGTCCTAGCTTTAGAACTGCAGTTATTTCAGCTGGGGATGGGGAGGTGTTGCTTACCTAAAAAAAGGAATTTCAGAGACAGTATGTCTTGAAAAATTGTATTAAACACAGAAGGGTCCAGAGTCAAGGGGGATCTTATTCTAAATTGTTTTTCTGTGCATCTAACTTTTTAACCATGTCAGCTTAATTTCCATTGAAGCTCTAAGGTGTCTGATTTTCAAATCCCCTGTTACTATACATGCAGGGATAATGTCTTCATAATGGTTCTAGTTAGAATCTCAGTAGCATGATACAGCTAGAATAATGGACTGTAGTTTAATGCTTCCAGATTTGGAAAATAGCAAAGTAGGATAATGAAATTTATGCATTTGTGCTGGCCACTAACAGTATTCTCCTTGTCTTTTCCAGCCGAAAAATGAAACAAGTAGAAGTACTTTTAATGGAACAGAATAAAGCACTGAGCAGGTAACCGAAATTAACAAAGAGTTATGTATATATTTGTTATGCACATTAAAATATAGTCAATAGTATATAAATGTTTGTTATTATTCTAATAAGTTCTTTTAAATGTACCCAAACCCCAAACACACCAATTATACTCTCACACACATACCCAGAAACACACACAAATTCCCAACAAAACCATGAACTTTGCCCCTAAAGCCATGAACATCACTGGAAGTTCTGACGTGGCCCCTCTATGGCCTGTCATAATGATCCTGAGAAACTTCACGTCTTGATCTCTGAGCACCCATTTGCTTTTGTTTTTGAACATCCACTCATGACGACCTTCTTAGTGTCAGATCAGATTCAGTTTTGAAATAAAACAAGGTTCTTTAAAATTCTTAAAGTTAACTATCATTGGGAAACGAAGCAGCTTAGTTTACAGGTGCCCATGGAACTTGCATAGGGATGGTCACTAATGACAGCAAGGGTGACATTAAGAATAGCACTCCCATTTCTCCTGAGGGTGGCAAGGGATAACTTGGAGTAGGAAAATGCAAACTGTTGAACCTGCCTTGGTAGCAGCTTCACGTCATAGAGCTGTTAGTGCCAATGAGACCTCCTGACACGCTCAGCTAACACTAACAAGGGGCACACCATGTGTCGAGTACTCCTTTTGGTAATGGGATTTAATGTTGAATGCTGCCTTTCTCCTAATTCTGTTTGACATCTCTTTGGATTTGTACCAGTTCCTGCATATTTTTGGCCTCTGTTCAGAGACTTGGGTCTCCTGCCCTGGGGAATGCTGCAGATGCTGCCGTCCCCTCCTGTCCAGCCTTTCTGCCTTCCCTGACCCCTCTCCTTCAGCATTTCAGCATCTCTTTACTTGGAGTGGGGTACAGATGCTGGAAGCAGGACCCATGGTCTGACATGGCAGTTAGATGTTTGAGGTCTCCCCTTCAGCTGTTAACTTGTTTGGAGATTTCATAGTGGATGAGATTAACTTAGGGGAGGTGGGCCTGGGGGTGCACTGAATAGGTTGATGGCTCTCAGGCCTTTCTTCTAGAACCCACAGGAGGAACTACAGGTTGCTTTAGGACCCAGCACATACATTTATGCATATGGGGGTTTTCTAGTCTATTGTATTCTGTCACTTTTTGTCTTTTTCTCTCTTCTGTGGCGGGTCATAACATACACATTGTACTTCATACTCTTCAGTGAGTTGTCCTTTGACGGACTTGTAATACTTTAGTGCTGTGGTGGGAATACACACTTTCATGCCCTTCTGCCCATGTCCTGCACCAATGTGCTCAATCTGTGTCCCCCACACTCCTCAGACCTGCCTCAGCTCTATTTGTGCACTGAACTCTTTCCTTCCTTTGGTAACAGAAACAGCTTCTGTTTCTATTTTCTCCCATATCAGTCCCTCCTCAGCCTTATTTTTGTTTGAACTTTGATGTTCTCCTCCTGACCAAGAGCCAAGAATCTTGTTACTTATCATTTAAATGAAATAGATCCGTCTGTACTGTTAGATCTTGCATGTTAAATAGCATTTTCAAAACTCATTTTTCATTAAGTCCTATAATGTTTAGATCCTATACTCAGTTTCTCAGAAGCATAACTCTTCTGATGGACCAATCTCATGATCCATGCACTTAAATGTGCAGGTATTGCAGTTAGAGCAACCATAGGGTCTATATTGGTTGGTGCCATGGACTGCATAGAGACACCTGCTGGCCAAATGTAGTGTTGCACTACTTTTCTGATCTGAATATTACATTTTAGGACCTTTATGTTTTCATAGTATGTTGATAAGAACTGAGACCACATGGGGCAGTGGGGACAGAGGAAGGATACCATAGTAAAACCTTGAGTCCTGTGCTTCATATATTTGTAATGGGACTGTGAAATAAAACACTCACAGGCCTGGATTCACTTAAAACTTTTGGAAATGATACTTTACTCTTCCAAGATAGTTAAGAACTTACTTTTTAAATGGAGTAGCTTTGCAGCTTGATTTGTTGTAGGAGAGGTCCATTTTGGTCCTAGTTACAAGTCTTGTGCTGGAAAACAAAATATAAAATGTATTGCTTCTTGCTCAATTCACAATAACTGAACTAGGGAACCAGCCTAGGTACCCTTCAACAGATAAATGGCCAAAGAAAATGTGGTGTATATATACACAACGGAATATTATTTAGCTATAAAGAAAAATGAAATTATGGCATTTGCTGGTAAATGGACGGAATTGAAGGCTATCATGTTAAGTGAAAAAAGCCAATCCCCAAAAACCAAAGGCTGAATGTTCTGTCTGATATGCGGGTGCTGATTTACAATAAGGGGGAGATAAGAGAGAGTAGAAGTATTTTGGATTAGACAAAGAGGAATGAAGGGAAGGGAGTGGGAATGGGAATAGGAAAGATGGGAAAGTAAGATCTGATTCATTCTGTTCATATACAAACACATGACCAGTGTACTCCACATCACATACCATCACAAGAATGGGAAGTTTACTCCATGTGTGTATAATATGTCAAAATACATTCTACTGTCATGTATAACTAAAAAGAACAGAAAAAAGTCTATTGCTTCTTTACTTCAAAGCTCTAGTCAGAATATCATAGTAATTTCTTTGCAGTACCCATTTAGTAAAATTCTCAATTGATTTCAAAGGTACATATTCATAAAGGAATTATAATCATGCATACCTAAGATTACTCCATGGGCTCAACAAATTGTAAAGATTATATGTGTAAAGTGGTTCTCTTAAGCAATACTAAACCAATAATTCACCTGTTTTTGAGAGATAGTTCTAAAGTTGACAGAGAGTAAGCAAGACAGTATACCCTAGTTTTTTGTTCTAAAAAAAACCTCATTTGAGTAGTCATAGAAGTTTCTACATATTTTGTTGTTGAAGCCAAGCCAGAGTTGCTCATTTGGTCTTCTCATATGCTCTCATTTTACTTATGATTAATAAAGTCTTTCTGTGTCATTGTAAATACAGCAGATTCACTGAAAATTAGCCAAGTATTAGTGCTAATGATGAACACATTACAATTGGATTACTTTGTTACACAGTGTTTCAGATTTGGATGTATTTTGAGAGAAGAATAAAGCAGACTTGATAGCTGCTAGATGTCAAGATGTCTGTATCAGAATCATTTGAGGAAAAAAAAAAGCTGGGTGTGATGGCACACACCTGTAATCCCAGTGACTCTGGAAACTGAGGCAGGTAGATTGCAAGTTTGAGGCCAGCTGTGGCAACTTAGCAAGACTCTGTCTCAAAATATAAAGGGTGGGGGTTGTATCTCAGTGGTAGAGCACCCCTGTACCCCTAAAAATTCTTTGAAAACATTAGGATTTCATTTTGATTTCCCTCTGATTTTTAATGAGACAGTTTTTAATGATTCATGAATTTTTTTTCCAGTAAATTAAGGGAATAGAATAGTAAAATTTTCTGACATTTTCTTCTTAGCTTTGAAGTAAGGGATGTTAACTCCTTGGACATCTCTTCCCCAGGTGTATTCTTCCTCCTTTGCTCACCATTTACCTTGAAGATTAACTAAACCAATCCATTGTGTAAGGTCTTCTGCATTTATGTAGTTTGTCTTGAGATACAGACAGTGCATCATGTCTTCCTGGAAGAGGGTGTAGAAAGGTCTGGGAGATGCAGAGGATCTGGCAGTTGGATCATTTCAGGGCAGTTGGAAGACAGTCCTAGGAAAAGGCCAGAGGAGCTGGACTAACAGGTGGTTGAGAGCCTCTGTCAAGATGAGGAAAAGCAGAAAAGGAAAGAGTTTTGCAGTAGTGATAAGTCCTGTCCTCAAAGAACCAAGCAAGCAGCTCTGATATAAAAGCCTTGCAGACAGACCTCTCTGCCCTTCCCAAGAGGGCCATGTGCCTCGCACGCAAGTTGCCCTTAGCTGGAACTTCTCAGTTCCTTGACCTTGTGATGGCCACTGCAGTTCATTCTTCTCTTCCCTTGGCATTGTCTTTCCTCTAGCCTTTTGAGACACCCTTCTACTTTTTCCTCATACTTCTCTGATTACTTCTTCCAAGTAATTTAAAAACTACCCTAAAATTTTGGTATTAGCTGTGGGTCATTCTTTTGTCCCATTCCATTCTGGGTTGATGAATTTAAAATTTAGCACAACATAGGTAAGAGCCAGGTGCCTGAGAAGTAATGTTAGAGAGATTTCAAATACATACTTCAAAATCACTTTATTTGTATCCCTAAATGCTGGAAAAAAAAACATAAACTTCTAAAAAGAGTCTTTAGCTAGATTTTTTTTAATTTGAAAGGATTTTTTTTGTGTGTGTGTGTGTGCTGGGGATTGAACCCAGAGCCTTGTGCATGTGAGGTAAGCACTCCACAACTGAGCTGTATGCCCAGCCCTCTGGACGATATTCTAAGAGTGACCTCCAGTCCTATGCCTAACCAAACCATAAGCAGCAGAGAAACACCGAGGATGTCTGTAAGTCCCCTTTGCCAATAGTGTTCAGAGCATACAGAAGAGGGAGCTAAAGCCTCACCCCTGCTGCAGCTCTGGCTCAGGAGCCTTTGTCTTTTCTCTGCTCCACACCAGGAGGTTGAGGTAGGGATGGAGGGACAGGATTGCCCAGGCTTCAGAGCATGGCAGGAGGGCCAAGGACAGGAATGGTGATTCAAGGGGACAAATTATGGCAGAAATCTACACCATATTTGGGAACATAAAATAAGTATTCTTGAGTTTAATAACCCCAAACGAGAATAAAAGCACATATTTTTTAAAAAATATTGTAGACTTTTCCAACTTTTCCGGCCATTTTCCTTCTTGTTCTGAGAAGGAAACTAAAGTGAAAATAGAAACTGTTATTCCTTTTACCAAGAAACCTACTAGAGGAATCGTGAAAAGTACAAGGACCTCATCAAGTAACTTTTTTTAAAAGGAAAAAGGGTGAATAAAAGAAAATAATAGCCCAAAACCAGATGAGATGGTATATTAAAAATTGTTGCTTTTGAACTTCAGTGCTTAACAATG